AGCGAAGCGGCCTCCGTGGGTGGGGGGCTGCAATGCGTTTGTGTGATCTTATCTTTGGACCTTGTATACGAAATATGCTTGTGTTGTTTGTTAAAAGTTGGTTAGAGAAAGTTAACATTATGTTGGTAGAACACCAACAACTACTTTAAGAGTGTATTTACTCAGGGTTACCGGTTACCTCTTAGTTTTCTCCTGGTTATTGTGCCTTATGTTTTTTAGTTAAGTTATGATGTCTACGTCTTAAGATTGTTATATTTTAGCTAATTTGGTTGTGCATAGGGAGGGGGGGAAATGTGGGTAGTTAGGGTCTGGCGGCCGGAAGATGTCGCGATGTACGGAAAGGTGGAGCCCCTCCCTTGATGGACAGTAGCGTGTGGCCTGTGCTGTAAGCAAGCGGAAGTGACGCTATGGGCCTCGGCTATATAACCCCATGGGACTCGACAATAAACGCCATTTGCCATCCACCACATTGGTGTCTGTGAGCCGATGGACCGAGCGGCCTGGGGTTGGCCGCCGTGCCGTTCCTGAACCAGGTCGCCACTGCCCCCTGAAGGCAACAACGTCCTTAGGAAGTCTTTCCAGCTACGCTTTCTACCACTACAGAAATGCACCTGATTCTTTCACAAAGCTTACGGGTGCTGACTGCAAATAGTCCTCATCATTCTCCATTGCCTTCCTCATCTCCATTCTCTTTTGGCCCGTGAAGCTTTTCCGAGCAGAGATGAAGATCAGCTCTAATACGCAGTCTGGCATTCTGCAAAGGAAAAGAGGAATCCTCCTGAAAACTCTTTGCAACCTCACCCGCCATCCCCAAAGCAAAGAAGAGCAAAAGAACAGCGCTTGATCACAGCAAGCATCAACTCGAGCATAGGTCTCCTGCAAGTGTAGCGGGGTTCAACAGCTGCCAAACAAGCTTAAGGAGCACACCCAGAATCAAGTCCATCCAACAAGTGCTTGAAAGAGTTAGGTTTTCTTAGGCGTGAGGAATGAAAAAGAAAGCAAGAACTGACCAGTTACCAGCACACAGTTTCCCTCGAGCTTGCTTGGCTTCATTCCGCACCTGAGGCTGGGCTCCCAAGCAGGATTGAGCAGCATTGTGCAGAAACTGCCAAAGCCTCCTCCCCAGCCGTGCTGGATCTTCAGCCCCAAGGGCTTTGGCTCTGTTGCCTCCTCAGCAACATGGGCAATTGCCCAGGCAAGCCGGTGTCCAGCAGCTCGACGCAGGAAGCGCAGCCCCCCCTTGCCACCGCTTGCCGCTCACACCAGGAGCCCCCGCAGCGGTGGCAGCCGTTGCGCGGCGCTTGGTGCGGTGCGGTGCGGGCAGAGGGCTGCGGGCTCCTTCTCCTCGGGGGCGGCTCCGCCATGGGGCGTCCGCCGCGGGGCTGCTGAGGCAGGCGGGGGGCTCCATGGGGGAGCGGAGGGCGACGTGCGCTGGGGCTGGGACGGGCCTGGGGCTGGGGCACCGCGCCGCCGCCGCCATGCCAAGCGGCACTCCTGGCATCTGTGCTGCAGAGCCAGCCAGTGTGACGCCTTGGCGTTTGTGACTTCACAGAATCACAGAATGTCTACGTTGGAAGAGACCTCAAGACCATCGAGTGACAAACAAAGGCAACTCTGCATTTCCTTCTTCAACACCCGCTTTCTTCACAAAACAAAACAAAACAAACAAAAACACAGAACTTCATCCCTCACACGGGACTCCCGAACTGAGCCTGCAGGGGCTGCCAAAGGCAGCAGCTCCTCAAGCACTGCTCGCACACGGCTCCCTACCACGGGCTCCATCCATCCCCCAGGAGCAAACTTGGTCAAACTAAGCCCCTTTGGAGATATTGGATGGCAGGCCTTACCAAATGCCGGACAAAGGAAAAGATCTAACACAAGAAGGGCTGCCCCGTGCCAGGCACAGTGTAGTTCCAGGCACTTCCAACAGCCCCAGTGCAGGCAAGAGTGAGCCTGTGCGGGATGATGACAGCGCCTCTGGAGAAATGTCCGGCAGAGGGCTGCCACGATGACAGAGCGGGCCTGGACTAGAGCAGCCCAGAGGTGTCTCCTGACCCCCACCTTGCTGTGAGCTGGTGTCTTGACGGGAGGCTGCCGGGAACAAGGAGGCTCCACAGCAAGCACTCAGGCTTTGTGACGTGGGGCGGCGTCAGGCCACAAGACCATTGTGACACGGCAAGCGTCCCCATGGTGACGGTGTGACTTATATGGCCCGAGCCCCCGTGGTGCTCACTCCCAGGAGTGCAGCGCCGTCAGGAGGCAGCAGCTGCCCTGGGTGCCTGTTTCTTTGTCTCTGTGAGAGGACAAAGGGATGCCGAAGGAGCAAGAGGCGAAGGCCTGCTCCCAGCCCAACAAAGGGCTGCCGAGCATGAAGAAGCACCACCAGGTGCGGGACAGGGAGGGAGGGAGAGGGCAGACACAGGAGAGAGAGTGCCAGGTGGCGGAGCATGGTACCGGGGCGCGAGGCCTGGCCCTGAGTGTCTGCGGTCCAGGCCCAGGTTCTCGTGCCCCAGGGGTTTCTCTGGGGCAGAGCTGAGGCCTGGGATGGCTGTGACTCGCGTGGGTCGGGCAGCACTCTGTCCGAAGGATGTGGCACTGAGGTGGGGCTGGGTGTCCAGGCACCACAAGGGATGCTGGTGGCAGCGCAGCCCCACCATCCCACACCTCCTTCTCCCCACAGGTGCAACCCAAAACCGCCACAGGCAGGACCGCTGTGCAGCCAGACTCCATCCTTGTCCATCCACGGGGTGAGGCTGCCACAGCTCCACTGCCCCACAGAAGTCACAGGCCTCTAGGAAGAAGAGCACACAGGTAGGGAGCCCAAGTGAGATGGGGCCAGATGCCTTCCCAAGCCCTGGGAGCTGCTGACAAGGAGGCGGCACGTGCTGGAGGGGGGCAGGTGGGCAGGTGCTGGAGGTTGGGCAGGTGGGAAAGGGACTACGGTAACATCACCTTTCTCCTTGGCTTCCCTTGCAGACAGACAGCCTGAAGCTGAGGCAGGCACTGCCCGGCAGCAGTGCCACCGGTGAACGGAGAGATCCTCTACCCAGCCTTGCCGCCTCTGCCAAGGCAGGGCAGCGACACTGAGAACTACACATCGGCATTCAGTGGGAGCTTCAACTATCCCCCGGCTGCCCAGTCTGTCAGTAGCAGGCTCCACCTTCTTCTGTGCCATGCAGAGACTGCATCACGAGCACCAAGGCTGTCAGACTCCCCGAGGTCGTCCCACGTCCTCAAGGACACTGTGAGAAAAGAGCAAATGGCAGCAACTGCCGAGAGCCGGGGGACAGCCCTGCAAGCCCCGCATCCATTCTGGCGCCTCTGCAGGCCAGACCCCAGCAAGACAACAGGCCAACCCCCAAGCCATGCTGCAGCCAGGAGCCAAAGACGCAGGGTGCAGCTGAGGGTACAAAGGCACTACGCCCCCTCCCAGCAGTGTGGCAACACCCGCAAGGACAGCCCAGGTGCCGGCCACCAAGACTGAAAAGATGCCAGCAACACGGAGACGAAAAGATGGCCATGCTCGAGAGGGACACAAGAGCTGCTGCTGGGATCTCCAAGCCAGGAGGGAGGCAGCAGAAGGAAGCCACCTGGAACCTTCACTGGGACCCAGACGCAGCCCACCAGCAGGGGCCTGGCTCACCCCCACAGCACTGGCAGAGATTCTGCCAGAGAGGCAGTCAGCCCCGCACAGAGCGCATCTCTTGCCATGTCAGGGCCAACCAATGCTGAGCCAGCAGATTCTGCGCAGGTTGCAGGTCCTGCCAGTGAGGGGGACAAGAATCCTATGGGTGCATCAGCACCCAGAGATGCTAAATCGCCTTCTCCCCTGGCTGCTGCTATGCCCGGCCCTTCCACAAGCAGCCAGAAAAGAACCGCCGACATTGAAAGGACCGGGTCAAGATCAACTGGGATATCTATGGGTGCTCCTCCTTTCGGCCAGCAATGCAGATCATTCCGAGCGGGGAGAGGGAAGGCTGCCAGTTGTCCCGGTGGAAACGAGTCCTGGCCGAGCAGCGTGAAGGTTCCGAGGTTGCGAAGGATCTGGGCAGCAGACGACGGTGACCACAGCTGACAGCACTGCAGCCAGTGCATCGGGCAGGCAGGAGGTGGCAGTGAGGACTGCGGGCCAGCGCCTTCCCTACTTTTTGCTCCACAACGAGTAAGACCATTCTGCAGGACATTCAGGAAGAGTGGGAAGAGAGCCCCAGGATAGAAGCTGTGGCAGAAGCAGACGACGTCCTGCCCGGCACGTCTCCTGCCCCATCTGGTGAGGCAGATGCCAGGCCTTCAGCTGCTCCTATGGCCGCAGTTCCTGGCCCGAGGAGCTCCCCCCGGCCTGCATGCCCAAAGAGGGAAAAGCTTCAGCCTCTCCCCTGGCTGCTGCTATGTGCCCGGCCCTTCCACAAGCAGCCAGAAAAGACCGCCGACATTTGAAAGACCGGGTCAAGATCAACTGGGATATCTATGGGTGCTCCTCCTTTCAGCCAGCAATGCAGATCATTCCGAGCGGGAGAGGGAAGGCTGCCAGTTGTCCCGGTGGAACGAGTCCTGGCCGAGCAGCGGAAGGTTCCGAGGTTGCGAAGGATCTGGGCAGCAGACGACGGTGACACAGCTGACAGCACTGCAGCCAGTGCATCGGGCAGGCAGGAGGTGGCAGTGAGGACTGCGGGCCAGCGCCTTCCCTACTTTTGCTCCACAACGAGTAAGACCATTCTGCAGGACATTCAGGAAGAGTGGGAAGAGAGCCCCAGGATAGAAGCTGTGGCAGAAGCAGACGACGTCCTGCCCAGCACGTCTCCTGCCCCATCTGGTGAGGCAGATGCCAGGCCTTCAGCTGCTCCTATGGCCGCAGTTCCTGGGCCCGAGGAGCTCCCCCCTGCCCTGCATGCCCAAAGAGGGAAAAGCTTCAGCCTCTCCCCTGGCTGCGCACCCTGTGTTGGAGGCCAGGACAGCACCTCTCACCCATCAGCATGTGAGGAAGAGAAGCAGCACCTTCTCCCTGGCTGGGGGCCTTCTGCAAGAGGTAAGCAAGGTATACCTTCCTCGTCCCACAGTCCATGGAAGCCACAGACCCCTGTCGGTGGGCCTCGAGGCCCCCTCATCCCTTATCCATCTGGCATCGGGGGCATCGGGGCCCGGAGCATGGCCAAACAGTGGCCCACAGGGCTGTGGTTTTCTCTCCCCATGCAGGTTTCCTCCGAGCATAGAAGCAGTGCACAGTGTTCCTCACACTTCCAATCGGTGCCAGAGGAAGGGCCAGGTATGTCCTAAAGTATGGGAGCCATCCCAGCCCACGGCACGGAGGCTGGCAGCACTCCACGCACAGGGTCCCTCCATGTCCAACTGTCCCCTCCCCAAGGGAAAGCCTTGGTGGCGGGGCAGGCAGGACCATGCCCAGTTCCCATCCCAGCCCCTCACGTACAGCTCTCTGACCCCCCACCAGGCACCGCTGCCCTCCCGCACGCTGTGGCTCGCTCGCAATTGCCCCCCCTCTTCAGGAGAGCACTTCGGGCTCTCCGCAGGAGTTACTGCTTCAGCTGCATCACAGAAGACCTAGAGCAACGTGAGGCTGACAGTACCAGGGAGCTCCCCACAGATGGCAGCTTCAGTCCCGAGGACGGGGCTTCTGAATAAAATTGTTCAGGACTATTTCATAGATGAGGGCTGTCTCTTCTGTTCTGTTCTGCGTGCATGGGTGTCTGTGGGCTGCGTGTGCAGCTGCTGCGGTCCAGACCCTGGGGCAGGGTGTCCCCATCTCCATGCTGCTAGTGCCTAGAGGGTGCACAGGTTGTGCAGCAGTACTACCATGCAGTACTCTTGCGTGGGCTCCTCTCTATGGGCTGCAGCTTCAGCCAGGGCCTGCTCCTGTGGGGGCTCTCCATGGGCCGCAGCTTCCTCCAGGCCACATCCACATGTTTTATAATGATGATGATGTTTTTTGTTATTATTATTATTATTATATAATTATATTATTATTATTATAATTATTAATATTACAATAATAATAACAATAATAATGGATTCCAGGCAGCGATCCTCTTGGGATCACATGCGGCACTTGAAGGGCAAGCAGCGATCGGGCCCAGCCAGCATGGGTTTTATGGAAGGCAGGTCCTGCTTGACGAACCTGATCTCCTTCTACGACAAAGTGACGCGCTGGGTGGATGAGGGAAAGGCTGTGGATGTGGTCTACCTTGACTTCAGCAAGGCTTTGACACCGTCTCCCACAGCATTCTCCTCAAGAAACTGGCTGCTCTTGGCTTGGACTGGCGCACGCTTCGTTGGGTTAGAAACTGGCTGGATAGCCGGGCCCAAAGAGTTGTGGTGAATGGAGCCAAGTCCAGTTGGAGGCCAGTCACTAGTGGCGTCCCCCAGGGCTCGGTGCTGGGGCCGGTCCTCTTTAACATCTTCATCAATGATCTGGATGATGGCATTGAGTGCACCCTCAGTAAGTTTGCAGATGACACCAAGCTAGGTGCGTGTGTCGATCTGCTCGAGGGTAGGAAGGCTCTGCAGGAGGATCTGGATAGGCTGCACCGATGGGCTGAGGTCAACTGTATGAAGTTCAACAAGGCCAAGTGCCGGGTCCTGCACCTGGGGCGCAATAACCCCAAGCAGAACTACAGGCTGGGAGAGGAATGGTTGGAGAGCTGCCAGGCAGAGAAGGACCTGGGAGTGATGGTGGACAGTCGGCTGAATATGAGCCAGCAGTGTGCTCAGGTGGCCAAGAAGGCCAACGGCATCCTGGCTTGTATCAGAAACACTGTGACCAGCAGGGCTAGGGAGGTGATCGTCCCCCTGTACTCGGCTCTGGTGAGGCCGCACCTCGAGTACTGTGTTCAGTTTTGGGCCCCTCGCTACAAGAAGGACATCGAGGTGCTTGAGCGGGTCCAAAGAAGGGCGACGAAGCTGGTGAGGGGCCTGGAGAGCAAGTCCTATGAGGAGCGGCTGAAAGAGCTGGGCTTGTTCAGCCTAGAGAAGAGGAGGCTCAGGGGTGACCTTATTGCTCTGTATAAGTACATTAAAGGAGGCTGTAGAGAGGTGGGGGTTGGCCTGTTCTCCCACGTGCCTGGTGACAGGACGAGGGGGAATGGGCTAAAGTTACGCCAGGGGAGTTTTAGGTTAGATGTTAGGAAGAATTTCTTTACTGAAAGGGTTGTGAGGCACTGGAACGGGCTGCCCAGGGAGGTGGTGGAGTCACCATCCCTGGAAGTCTTCAAAAGACGTTTAGATGTAGAGCTTAGGGATATGGTTTAGTGGGGACTGTTAGTGTTAGGTTAGAGGTTGGACTCGATGATCTTGAGGTCTCTTCCAACCTAGAAATTCTGTGATTCTGTGTGTCTGTGATTCCAAAACTTTTG